TATTTATTACCTGATTCTTACAAGGAGCCTTGGTGGCACAGTGGTTAAGGTGCTGAGCTGCTAACCAAAAGGTTGGTGGTTCAAACCCCACAGCTGCTCCAAGGGAGAAAGATGAGGCAGATTGCTTCTGTAAAGCCTCAGAAATTTTACGGGGCAATTCTACTTTGTCCTGTTGGGTCACTGTGAATCAGAATCAACTCAATGGCTGTGGATTTGGTTTTCAAGTTTGGATCCTTTACAGAATAAATTTTCCCCATTCCCTGCTTTAGAGAAATAATGGGCAAATATCCAATAGCCCTGTAACTAGTAGTACTGGAAGTGGGAAGTACTAAAGCAGGCATTCCTAGGTCTGTGAGGTCTGGAGAAAGAAGCAATCACATCTTTTGGAGGAGCTGGGAAAACTTCATGGACCAGGAAGCATTCAAAGTGGGCCTAAAAGGATGAATAGAATTTTTGCAGCGATTGGGTTGAATGATTTCAGAAAGAGAATATGGCATGGGCAAGTATCACCATTTAGGAGAGACAATCTAAAATGCAACCTAGGAACTGGAGAGTAGGGTACAAAGAAAGTAGTTCTGTAAAGCCATATCTGTATGGCAGAGTGAAAAGTACCTAGGCCTTAGAGTCACACAAACCCAGGTTCCTATCTTCACTGTCTTCACTAGCTCTTCAGGCAATTGACTTACCCTGTTGGAACCTCCATTGCCTCATCTGTAAAATGGGGATAACACTAGTACCTTGATTGGTGTGAAGTCATGAATGAAAATTAAAATAGGCAGGATAGTTAAAATCCCCATATAGGATCTGAACCTAGAAGGCGGTTTTTTTATTCCTTTTCTATTAAGCTGAACCATGTGAAGTTGCCAATATTTGATCTTTCTTGACCCTTCCAAAAAAGAAACAGTACTTTCATATGTTTCACCTCAATGTTCAGCGGCAAACAGCTAGAGAAATGACAAGCTGACACTTGTCTGTTGTTACATGACAAGTCTCCTGACAAGCTAAGACCACGGTATGATGAGCCTCTTGCACCTGGCCATTCTACAAAAAATAGACAAAATAAGCACCAGTGTGGGCTGTGTTATCTTTTCCAGGTGCAAAATGTGTGCTCTGAGCAAGTGCTAGTTTGGAGAATACCCTTAGCCAGAGAAAATGAAAGTGCCTGCGGTTGGTGGAGTGATTCAGCTTCTGTTTTGTACTGAGCCGTGGGCTTTGTGCATCTAGAATATGCAGGTCTCCCCACAGGCCTTAACTTTTAAAAATAAATAAATAAATAAAATAAACCTGACTTCTGTTGAGTCTATTCTGATTCACACTGACCCAGTAAGACAGGGTCAAACTGCCCCATAGGGTTTCCAAGGCTATAAGTCTTTATGGTAGCACACTGCTTCATCTTTCTCCTGCAGATCAGCTGACGGGTTCAAACCACCAACTTTTGGTTTGTTGTTGTTATTGTTATGTGCCGTCGAGTCGGCCCCGACTCATAGCAACCCCTCCTTGGGTTTCCGAGGCAGTATCACTACGGAAGTAGGACTGCCCAAACTTCCTTCTGAGGAGTGGCTGGTGGGTTTGAACAGCCAGCCTTCTGGTTAGCAGTCAAGTGCTTTAGCCACTATGCTTTGGTTAGCAGCCTAATATTATAACCACTGTGCCACCAGACGTCTTCCACAGGCCTTAAAACAAACCAAAACCAAACTCACTGCCATCAAGTCGATTCTGACTCATAGAGACCCTCTCTGGGTTTCTAAGGCAGTAAATCTTTACAGAAGTAGATTGTCCAGTCTTTGTTTCGTGGAGTGGCTGGTGGGTTTGCACCTCCAACCTTCTGGTTAGTAGTCAAATGCTTTAGGCACTATGCCACCAGAGCTCCTTCCACAGCCCTTAATAACAGGCATCTTTGTTGTAAAGGTTCCCCGGATGCCAGTGGAGGAAAGGGCTAAGAGAGTCAGTGTGTGTCTCTCCTCCCAGTGAGTGACTGCACAGGTTCAGAGTTCAGGCCACAGACAAAAGGAGTGAGACAAATTGGAGACAAGCTGGCAATTGTGAGTTAAGGAGTGACTGAATGGCTGGTTTCCTTAGCAAAAACATTAGCAACACATTCAAGCAAAGGGATGGAAGAAGTTAAGTAGTTTGCAGAAATATTTGGCAGGCCCTAGGAAAATAGAACAAGA